ATTGAAGCAACTGCCATGTGATTGGTTGATTAGATAATTGCATTAATGAGAAATTGAACAGGTGTTCCTAATAATCCTTTAGGTGAGTGTATATTTTACGCAAATGAGCATCTCTTTGGTTCTGTTATTCATACTCATTGCCAGAGACATTGCCTTATGTTCAGTTTACAACTGTTCCTAATTCTCTTTGCAGTTTCAGTAACAGGTCTAAACAATCTCAAAGCAAATTCTGTTTCCCTGTTGTACTGAAATTGCACCAAACTGTGAACTCAAAACCCATGTGTGTACCGCACTGTGACTACTGTGTACCATTACAACTGTAGTAAATATTATTATATACCTTATATAAAGGTAAAGCTTTTAATTGAGCAATTTTTTAAAGCTGTATTGAGGGTTGTTGTCTCGCACTTGTAGCTGCGGATTTATGGTCATCCAACAATCAAGGTGTCGAGAAAGATGTGCACAGATGTTAATGGTATTACCACAATATTTTACCACGGAAAATCTTGCAGATGGCTCTACTCATGTCTATGTGTCTGTTTATTTTATAGAATCCAAAGTTTGCCCAAAATCCGGATTTAAACTGAGACAATGCTGGAAAAATCTCTTCACACGTTTGCTCATTTATGTTAGCACACACTTGCATGTGTCAGTTTTTTAACAAAATGTGTAACTTGGATGGATATTTAATAATTGATTTTTAACTTTTGTGGTAATCTAAAAATCACCACCTCAAAGAATCATGATTTGTAATTAAATCAATCCCCCCCACTTTTCATTGTGTTTATAATTATCTACAGATATAAAAGGACCTATAAAGTTCAGCAGGATATTTGTTACAGGGAAATCTGCGACACGGCACTTTCGAAGAAAACTCCCAGTAAGATTGCTCAGCACCAATGCTACATTTCATTATGATCTCACTGTCATGCACTTCAGGATATTTATTATTTAATATATTTAATTATTTAATATCTAATATTGATACCATTATCAACAAAATGTAACTTTTATAAAGCACACTTAACTCTTCAGAAATAAAAATGCATATTAATATAAGTACATGTTAATGTATTTAGTCTAAATAATCTGAGGGAAATATGAATAGACAGTTAAACCCACAGTAGATTGTGTTATTCCCATGTTATTGTTTAAATTAACCTTATTTTTCTTCACAGACAGAAGAACTCAGAGAAAGCAGTGAATGTGTGGACACATTTACTTCACTATTCACCTGACCCAGAAAAAAAGTTGTGAAAACAAATTACTAAAACAGAGAATAGTACCAATATAATGTACTCAGGCAGCATGGTGGCTCTACAGGTAGTGCTGTTGGCTCTGTGCAGTTTTCCCTGTTTGCTCAGGTTATCTCGTATAGTCCAAAAACATGTAGGTGAACTGATAGGAGTTGGGCTGCTAACTGCTATGTAGCTAAGGCACTGGGTTATAATGGGTATCATTATGAAGGGGGTCATTTAAGTAAACAATTTTGGGCCATTAGCAAACAGGAACCAAAATGCAAAGTGAAACTGTATGCCAGAAAATGAAATAGAAATCACAGAACGATACTAAACTGGAGTAGCAGGTCCTCAGAAACTTCTTAATGATTAGACAAGAGATGTTGACCACAATAAGCTTAGTTACACTAATAGCAAATATTGGTGATTATACATTAGGATCATCTAAAGGTAGACGTGATCGTGACTAATGACCAGTTCTGCAGCAAGGAATTAGTGAATCTGTTTTATGAACTAAATTATTTATGGTGGAAAAATCATTTGTAAGCAGGCAAAAATGAGAGCTAGTTGTTTGGAAGATTAAAAATATATCACACTTCAGAAAACTAAATTACAGTTTTTTTTTTATTAAGGATTATTTGAATATTAAAAATCTCATTAATTGTGTACAAGTCTTGAATACTGGATATTCTGTAAAATGTGTTGTTGACATCAAATCTCAACCATTGCAATATGAAAAGCTCTTTAAGATACAGTGTGATCCTACATATTATACAGGTCTTATCGAAGTAGTATGTGTGGCCTTGTAAGACTTGCTTCTCACAAAGGACAAAATGAATTGCTGAGTCTTAGGGGGATATAGAAATAAAGTATTTATTTAAGTCAGTGTTCCTGTTTCTTCAGGAAACTTGTGAAGTTCTTTGATTTCCAGTGAATTTAGATTTCTCAGTATGAGAATTGACCTCCAGTTAGCCCCATCTGAAGTCCCAAAGGTTTCACTACTAGCTGCCTCCTTGAACATTTTAACTTTCTCCAGCTCCAGTGTCTCCAGTTTCAAGTTTTTGCCTCATGTTATAGTTAAATGAATGACAAAAAGAGTCCCATGATTGCATTTGAGGTCTACACACAGAGCAAAAGAAAGGCATTGAATTCTGGTTGTACAGTAAAGCAGTGGTGTGGAAAAAAATACATTCCTTAAAAGTTGAAAGAGTAGCATATGTTAAATATATAATAGTCCCCCCCCCAAGAAATCTGGCATATATTTGCACCACTCCCTCATGAACATCTTAAGATTTCTCTATTCTCTGTATGAGCATGTATGTTCTGTCTTGATCTGCCATTTGCTTTAAGGAAAAAAATTTAAAAATTCCAAAACTGATGTCAAAAGAAAAAAAAACTCTTTCTTCCTGATAAACCGAATTTCTGTGCAAGCTATCATGTAAAGTGTTTTTGTAGGTGATTATTTTAATAAAAAATTATAAAATGTATCCTTGTCTTCTTTTTACTGCAAATATGACAAAAATAGAACTGTAGTGGGGGTAAAACAAAAATATTTTATCCTGTCTTAATTTCATTATTAAATGTAATTATATTTTAATATTTATATTTAAATTTTGTTTATGCATTTTAATTGATATGTCACTTGTGTAACGTGTAATTAGCATTTTATTGTTTGCTTAATACAGGGGTGGGCAATCTTATCCACAAAGGGCCGGTGTGTATGTAGGTTTTTGGGATAACCTTTAGGTCAGCTGTTCAAACCCAGGTGTGAGGACTCTTAAGCCAATCAGTCCTCTAATTAGTGACCTAATTAGGGAGTTGCAGTGAAAACCTGCATAAACACCGGCACTTTGCGGATAAGATTGCCTACCCATGGCTTAATACTACTACAATTGCACAGCTTACAATTTTTTTACTTTGATAGAGTGAGATATTTAATGAATTCTTTGCAATTAAAAGCGTTACACAAGAATATAAATATAAATGGAGCCCTTTTGGTTTTACTCTAATTTTGCAACCTTTAAAAAAATCCTCAATTTTTTGTAGACAAATATAGAGCATATGCCTTTCAGATTTGGCTAAAAAAGTTACTTTTTTAATGCATTTCTTGTACAGGTGTGGCATATAAACACAATGAGCACCTCGATCACAACACAGGAGTTCCTTATTACTGTGACTGTGAATGGACAGTCTAAAATGTTCAGTTTTTGTTGAGCAACACAGAAGCCTCAGGTTTTGGACGATTATACCACTGGCGTGCCATTTACAGGGATACCAATTAGACATTTTATCAGTCATCAATGTCCATTACTATAAGCCTCCTCTCTGCTTTTGGCAGTACATCCAACCAGCTTCACAGTCACAAACCATGTGGCTGACATGTCACCCATTGGGCATTTTTGGGATGGTCTTGATCAAGGCACCAATATCGGATAATTTCATCCAGAAGTTGAACAGAATGATGACATACCACAGGTCATCAACAACCTTATCAACTCTAAGGAGACGTGTTGTGCTGCTACTGGAAAGTGATGGTCACACCAGATGCAAATTTTTTGCTATGACCCACCTTATTTCATTTTGTATATGTAAAAACGATGCAGGGGTGCCCAATCTTATCCAGATAGGGCCGCTGTGTCTGCGGGTTTTTGCTGCCACTTCCCATTTAGGTTACTAATTAGAGGATTGATTGGCTGAAGATTTGGACTTCCAATTATTTATTTCATTGTAACAGACTTGCAATGCAGTTTTTGAGCACTAAGTGTCTGTCTTCAGCCATTCAAAACTAAGCAACATCAGTGCACTGGCATATAAGTTCATGATGCGACTGCCCCGATTAACAAAGTATGCATCAGGTACAATTTGAAGGGACCAGGAGGGAACAGAGGCGGGACAGAGAGACAGGGAGCAAACACAGGGAAACCTTCCACAGGGGGAACCACATCAGGGGGCAAGGAGGCAAAGGGGGCACCAGGGAACCAAGGGGAACCCTGGCGGGCAGAAGATGGGAGCTGCAGGGGCCACAGGCGACCACAAAGGCCGGAGCCAGAAGGACCCTCAGCAACCGTGAGCCAGAGGGAACACTGAAGGGGGCGAGGAGGAAGGCAGAGGGACTGCAGGAGGAGGCGATGAGGGAGGTGAAGGGGACACTGGGGAAGGCAAGGAGGGAGCAGAAACAATGCCAGGCGAAGGCATAGCCACAGATGGCGAAGGCGCAGGCAACCGATGAGGTGCAGCTGGGGGAGCCGCAGGCGACTGACGAGGCGTTGGAGGCGGGACTGCAGGTGACGGATGAGTCCCCACAGGGGCCACCGCAGGCGACCGTCGAGCTGGAGCCAGGGGGACTGCAGGGGACCGCCGAGCAGGAGCCGGGGGAACCGCAGCCGACCGCCGAGCAGGAGCTGGGGGAACCCCAGGTGAGCCAGGGGGCAGGGCGGGCGGTACCCAACCCCGGCACAGGTATCCTCTCTCTCAGGCATTGGTGACTTGATGGTTAGGGAAGCGCACTTGTAATTGTAAGAACATGACTGTAATTGTAAGACTGAAGGTTCGAATCCCCGACCAGCAAGGCACCACTGAGGTACCCTGAGCAAGGTACTGCCCCTAAGCACTGCTCCCCGGGCGCTGAATTAGCTGTTCCCTGCTATGTCACATTTGTCACATATGTGTTAAATGTAGAGGACACATTTCGTTATTGCTGTGGAGTGTCAACAATGACAACTATCTACCATGACAGGGTCGTGACCCACCAGAAGGGTTCGTAAGAGCAGTAGTCAGGGAAATCCCTGAGGGGTCCCACTCGGTCCCCTTCTCCATCTCCACCAAGGGGGGAGGAGCGATAGACCGATGGTCCGGGACCTCCTTGAGGACAGGGACTGGGGGCATGGGAACTGGGACAGGAGCAGAGACCGGGGATCAGGAACCACGGGAACTGGAGCAGGGGGTTGCACCTCAGGGGTGGGCACCACCTCAGGGAAATGAGCAGCAGAGACCAAGGGCACCGCCTCTGGCGAAGCGGCGTCTCCTGCCAAGGAAGCTTGCCCCGTCCTCAAATGGAGCAGCTTCTTCAGGCTCTCCGCCATCTTCTCCAGCTCTCAAGGTGGGGAGGTTGGGGTGAAGGCAGTAAAATCCCCTTGAAGCCGTATATGGAGCGGGACAGCCTCTTGGAAGTCCCACACCGCTGGATCCCTCATCACCCACTAGTATAGACCCTGAAGGGCAAAGAACTGCCTGGCCAGGGTCTCGGACGCAGGTGAGGCAGCAGGGAGACGAGGCTTGGGCGTTGGAAGCGGGCAGACAAGCTTTGGGTCTGTGGTGAAGCGGCAGATCTCGGAAGGGCTTTCACATGAGGTAGATCATGGGGCGTGGCACACGGGAGGATTGGACAACCGGGGCATGACAGTTACCATAAACTAAAGCAGTATCTCGTTACAGTTGAAATAACCCATTCTCACAAAAAGTGTAATGGCTCAAACCACAAAAAATAAAAAAATTGGTACACTGTACATGGTTGTCATTGTACTGAGTATCAAAAATCATTATGAAATTGTCTAGCTTGCTTTTGTTAAATGATATTAAAAGCCGGAAAACTGAATATGGAGGCTATCATTTGATCTTTCAAATGATAGTTGTGTGTTAGAGACACCAGGGATGCTCTAGTATGTAATAGTACCAATGACACCTTCGTCACTCTGGAAATACTGCACAAGAGCTCTTGTTATAAATTTTGTTTGTTTTTTTTCTTTGCTGTTTTTTCTTTAAGTAAAAACTTTTTCTTTTCTAAAGATTTTCACTTACAAGCAAGTGTTTTTTATTTTGTTGTTTACGTCATTCACCTCCAGACTGTATTCACCATCACCCACCTCTCTTATAATATTGCACTCACAGCCAGGTTGGAACACCTAAAGTCAGGCTGTTACTGCGGATGCTGCTGCTGTGCGCACCTGGGCCAGCACCTCCCTCACCACGCCCCATGATATCACCAACATATAACAACAAATACAATGCCCTGCCTTGATGGGTGGGTCCTGTGCCTGGCCTGCTCTGTCCACTGGAGTTATCAAGTGGGAAGCAGCACACGGCCAGGATTGCATTAATATATAATTATTAGTAGAAACCCTATCCATTTATTAAAAAATGTAACTAATAATTTCTGATCAGTAATTTCATTCCCTTAATTCCCTCTCTCTAAAATGTTTCCCAACTGCACTCTGTAATTTACAGTTCTCCACTGCTGTCAGTGGCCTTTTCTCCAATTCTTTCGGCCATGTCTTGCATGAGTTGGAGGCGTGTGTACTGAAGCATCGTATCAAATCACACTGCATTGAAATAGAGGTGAATTGTGTCTTATTGCTACAGTAATTGTATCTTTAATGTAGAGCATCATTGGCAAGAAATCATAATGATTTCATATCTTTAAAAATTTAATTTAATTAGTTTGGCATAAGCTTTTTAGAAAGTATATGGTTTTTAATTAATGGGTTTGGGTACAAATCATAATTATTAATAAAAGTACCATTGACACAAATTTACCTACATAATTGACCTCGTTGATTATTATGCTCTTTACTGTCAGATCAGAATCAGAATCACCTTTATTGGCCATGTATGTTTACACATACAAGGAATTTATCTCCGGTTTTTCATCGCTCTCAGTATACTTTAACAGGACAAACGAACAGCAAGAAATTGGACTACAAAAAAAAAAAAAGACAATTAAGTACAGTTTGTACAAAAAAGACTTAAGCCAAAAGTCCATAGTGAAAAGGTGCATAGGGATGCTGGTTACTATATATACATGAGGTACAGTAGATACTTGGTGATAGCAGATTATTGCAAAATTATTGTCCTTTCGTGTTCATCAGAGTGATGGCTTGTGGATAGAAACTGTTCTTGTGTCTGGCTGATTTG